CCCCGCCTGCCTCTGTCAGATGCAGGGGACCCAGGCTTACCACAGACAAAGGATACTCTGGCAGAAGCCTCTGTCCACGGGGGGGTCCGAGCTCTCTGTGGACAGGGGAGACAGACCAGTCGCTATCCACGGGGAGCTCAACCCCTCCCCTGCGGACAGGAGTTGCTGCCACCTCACACTGCTACCTCTGTATCAAAGGCAGCAGTGCAGGGCGGCAGGCAGCCGATCTGCGTGGGGAGCCGATTATTAAACCAGCTCCCCTTGTGACCTGGCTCCTTTTTGGCACCCCAGGTGTAGAACCAGTAGGAAACTGGCTGCCAGCCCTTCTCCCGGGTCTATCAAATAGTCATGTAACCACTAAAATTTCATGAAAGTACATGATTATTCACTGATATCTAAAATCCTTAGGCACTCACTTTTTTTTTTTGTTTGTTTTTTTTGCCATGATGGCAGTTTTTAGGTTCTCTTATTATGTTTTTTAAGTTGGGGTATACATTTAAGATGTGCCTCTATTATAGTGTCTATCAAAGGTTTCCATGCAGCTTGCTGGAATTTCACTTTTGGCACTGTACCTTTAATTTTCTGTTTAACTTCTTCATTTTTGTGTAGCCCCCTTTCTGAAATTAAATGCTGCCAGCATGGGTTGCTGTTTTATTTTTCCTGCCACTGAGATGTTAAATTTAATTATATCGTGGTCAGCTATATTCACCTATTAGAACAAATCCTATGTTTCATTTTTCAAATATTTTTCTTTTCATCATGCTATGTCAAAAAATTAGCAGGGGAAACTGACTGAATATACAGGGAAACATTGGAATTGATTGTATATAAAGTGCTGTATAATACAAAAAAGTAAAATTTAAAAGTATTTTCTTTTCCAATCTCTTAATTTCATTGAGTGTTACTTACAACAATAGGTTTTTTTAATTGATAATGTCCCCTTAGAGCAGGGGTCAGCAATCTATGGCTCATGAGCCAAATAAGGCTCTCTAGGGAGCCAGATATGTCTCTTTGGGAGCCCCAGCTCATTCCCTCTTGGCTCATCCCCCACCCAGCCAGATAGCTGCCCCCAGTCTCCTGGCCAAATTCCCCCCTGCCCTCTACCCCCAGTCCTCTGACCAGACAACTTGCCTGCTGCTCCCTGTCCATGCCCC